AGCCCAACATCCTCCATGATGTGAATGTGACTTTGCTCTAACACTTGATTGCAATGGTTGCATGAGCAACCATCTGTGTTGCATCTGTATTTTCACATCAGAACTGAATAAAGATAGAAAGGAGGAGAAATATTAACTTTCACTGCTGAGCAGCTTTTAGTCAGAGCTTAGAGCGCCACCATGTGGACAAAACAGCAGCTCTGCTTTCTTCCATCCATTTTCTATTCAGCTACAGATGAGAGGCAGGGGTCACCTGGACAGGTAGCCAGTCTGTCGCAGGGTCCAGACAAGACAAACAACCATACACACACACACACACACACACACACACACACACACACACACACACACACACACACACACACACACGCAACCCCCCCCCCACACACACACACCGAGGGAGAATTTAGAGAGACGAATTAACCTGAGGAAGCCCGTGACCCTGGAGGGAACCCACCATGCACAGGGAGAACATGCAAACTCAGAATATACAAACTCCAAGCAGAAAGACAACGGGAATCAAACCCAGGACCTTCTTGCTGCAAGGCAACAGAGCTACCAACTGCTCCACTGTGCAGCCGTCCGCTTTTATTTCCTGAAGCTCTAAATCACTAAAAATGACTGTTTCTTTGTTCTAATGAAATGGGAAAAGATGAAACTATGAATTAGAAAATAGTTTTGATCAACTTTGCTGAGAAAATGTGAAAACATAAAACTATGACAGACAAATTAGCAAAAATGTTTATTTTGAAAATTTCAATAAAATTTCAGAAAAAAACTCTGAACTAAATGATTATATTTAGTTCATGTCTTAATTACAATGTCTTGACGTTTCTTTAAAACTTACACATTTATATACATCTATATTTCAAATATAATAAAGTGCAAAAAACGAAAACGGGCTGCAAATTTCTGAGGAAAGTTTTAACAGCTACATTAGAACTTAAGGAACTTTAAAACTAAAATGTCACAATTATTTACACACAAATATTATTTTGTCACTGGAGTTTAACAATAATAGACTTTAAAACTTTATGGGGGTTTTCCCCTCATAAAGACTCTAGAAAGAAAAAAAACTTCTTTCTGGTTTCTTTAAAAACATAACACTGTTATCAGGACAGATGCATGGACTTTTACCCATGTTCAATTAATACTAATATATTTGCTTTGATGTAATAAATCAAAGGTTTGTAACTGAACTTAGTCTCAAATCAATGAACCATAAATTAATGAAAGTGCAATCTAGTGTTAAAAACAAAAGTGAAAAATTAATTATGTTAATTTGATGTCTTTTTTTTCACAAGATTGGAAAGTATAAATAGATTTTGTGTTTTGTTTTACTCAAATATAAATATAAAAGTGCTAAAAATCTTTAAAAACTGTGAAATAGGCCTTTAGTGATTGTTGTGCTAATGGTTTGGAGAACCAATGTCTGGCGTGGTCTGATATTACATCAGCCAATGGGGTTGATTGTCCCGCCTTTCACTACTGCACTGTGATTCTGCTCAGAACGCATCAGACTAGGTTGAGAGCTCATACCTAACCGTTGGTTCCGTTGGAGCCTGAAAGAGCTTCTAAAATCTGGACAAACGGTAAGAAAAACAATATTGGTATCGTTTCGCAAAATATATAATTGAAAATAGTAAATTATTTTTTTATCTGTGAAAGTCGTTTGAGAGCAGCTGCTACTGGGAAAAAAATCCCCGTTAGCATCATAGCATCGGTGAGTGACCGCACGCGCTCAGCAGTTGGCTCAGTAAAATACGTAATATTTGACCTAATTTAACAAAAATAACATAATACAGTAAGATTTTGTATTATTGTTCTGTATATTATATTTCAGTTAAGTGCTTTTTACGTTGGCATTACAAGAAATTTATAGTGTTGAAGAGGTACCGGCACTTTTAGAGTAAAATATATATTATTATAATTATTATAATTTTATTTTTTTTCTTTACCACATATTAAGCTAATTTCTTTAGTTTTACTGATGTCTAAGTAACGTTGTATCCTGATAAACTGATGATTTTTGTACAACGTGAACAGAAAAACTTGAGCAATGATGGAAACTCTCTGAATTATAATTTATTGATGCATAGGTTTAATTGATATTGGCATCTTATATTCTAAGATGTTTTACTTTGGCCTTGATCCAGGTCAGGTTTGTATTGTTTTTTCTTCTTTCGCATGTTTCGGTGCACTTTTGGCCTGGAGTGCCCAGAGACTTCAAGACCCAGTTCTCCTGAATTGGGATGGCGAGTCCCAGTCCAGAAAACCCAGTGAGATGGTAGATAGTGACCCGACTGGTCACTGTCCTTGAAATACTGAAGAGAATTGACTGACACATTGGAAGAGACTGTTTAAAAAAAAAAAAACGTGCAATTTTGTTACCATTGTACATGTGGATCCACAATTGTTTATATTATTAAATTTTACTCTTTCTTATTAACACTTTGTGCACTCCCTTGTTATTCACACCTAGGCTCCCGAGAATTCAGAGTCTTTTGATCCGGCCCAACTAAGTAAATTGAATTACCTGTCTTTTACTATTTCTTGCATTTTACTAAATGCAAGAAATAAAAAAACTAAAATAAATAGAAAATGTGCAGAAAAATAAAAACGTTTTAATGATCACTACTGCCCCCTGTGGTGATAATGACGAAGTGAGACTAGAGGACGTTTTGTTTCTCTGCAGCTCATAAAATGTCATTATAAAACATTTTCAGAATAAGTGTTATAATTCATGAGGAGAAAATATCAGTGAGTGAATTCTACAAATTACAGTAATTCATTCTTTCTTTATATTTTGAGATTTACAAAGTTTATTTGTAGATTTTTCTAAGTGTGAGAGGAAGAACTGTTGGTCCGTTTTCTATAACTACAGGGAGTGGTTCAGGAGCACTGAGTTGGGTTGTTTTTTTGGGTTTTTTTCCACCAGAACAGGAGAAGAAGCAGAAAACATTTGATTTTCCAGTAAACAGAAAAATAAACTAAAAACAACCTTCAAGTTTTGGGAATTGGATTTATTTTGCCTGCATACAAAACATCACCTCAGTGCAGTAAAGACACATGGATTTAACTTTTTCCTTTCTTTCAAAATATGTTATTGCTATTTGGTACATTTGTTAAAACATGGCATTGTGCAGTTATATAGACATTTGTCACTTTTCTTTTAATACATACAATCTCTCAATTACATTAAACTAAAGATGATAAGAACAAGGATATTAAAACAAAGTCTCTGGATGTTTAAAAGTTGACTCTCTTCCGGTTCTTCCCCGCCCTGCAGCTCCTGCCTCACCCGGAGAGCCAGGTCACTGCTGGGACCTCCGTCCGTGCAGCGTTTGCTCCTCTGTCCAATGTCCTCAGATTGTCTCAATAAATAACCAACAATTAAATAAAACAGGTTTCTGCTGCTCATCTGATCAACTGTGAATGTTAGGCCAAATTGGCCCACAGTCCGTCTTCAACACAAGGGGGAGCAAACAACTCGAAAAACCCAAACAGCGGAGCAATCAGGTGCAAGGTATTTTAATCAAAAGAGTCACAAGTAGTGGCACAATAAAAACTGTTCTTTATAAAATCCAGTGTTCCATAAAAAAAGTCATCCGTTGAAGGCCACAGGTTGGGCTCCGCTTATTTTCTTGTTCGTGGCGGTGATCTATGTGTAGCGCACACTACAGCCGGCCGCACAGCGCTCCACCACCGCTTCACTCCTCGGCGTGCCACGCCCCCTTATGTTTCGGTCCAACTAGAAGGAAAGAACAGGAAAGCGCCAGCATCCCCGCACCAGAACTCCGTCGGAAGACGTGCTTTTTGCCAGCTCTCTGCAGGATCAGCTCGACCAGAAAGGAACTTTACGTACAGGCGCGGGCAGAGGTTACCCTCTGCCCTGATCCTCTGTTCTGGGCCGTCTGTCCAACTCTCGCTCGCTTGTGCCGGATGAGCGGGCTCCGTCTGCTCCCCACAGCGTGTCAGTTCCCGTGGCTGGAGAACCAGTTCTTCTCAGTCTTCTTCCCAGCCAGGCTCCTTTTATTTTGGCTCTAATCAGCCTCTGCTGACATCTGTCCGGGTGGCCAATTAGTGCGCCCCGCCTCCCGAGACAACCACCTTCAGTCCAGGGTGTTTGGATTGTCAAAAGGGGAAAAGGAAAAAGAAAAGCAACAACCCAAAAAACAATATACATGCAAAGCAAACAAAAAAAGAGCAATAATAATCAACCATAAAAGAAAACAATCATTTTCCCCTGTTCAACATGAACGTACCGTCTGCTAAACACTGATGTTGGCTGGTTTTCTTGACACAGAATGCAAATGATGGCTTTCTGTGTAAAGAACACCTATTGGATAGCATTCAATAGGCATTCTTTACACAGACAGCTTGTGTTCATAGGCACTATTGGGCTCACAGAACCAGTGCCTATGAACACATTACCTGTGTCTAAGATGACATGGTTTGTGTCTTTCTGTGTGAAGAAAGCCTATTGGATGGCATTAAATGGGCGTTTTTGACACTGAAGGCACAGCTACTGTCAGCCGAGGTCTGGGCTGACAGTAGCTGTGAGCACAGAAACAGGAACTGTGAGCAATGGTTCCTCTGACCAGTTACCTGTGCTCACAGGCTTTCTATGTAAAGAACGCCTATTGAATGCCATCCAATAGGTATTATTTATACAGAAAGTCATCATTTGCATTCTGTCAAGAAAACCAGGAAATTTAGTTCACTTGTCCAGCCGACATCAGTGTTTAGCAGACGTACGTTCACAGTTGATCAGGTTTACCTGTGACTATGAGCACTGGTACCTGTGATCACACCGTTTGTGTCATTCTGTGTAAAGATGGGCGGTCCTTACACAGAATGCAAATGACGGCTTTCTGTGTAAAAACTGCCCATTGGATGGTATTCAATAGGGTAAGGTTGTCCGTCCAATCGGTGAATTTTACACAGAAACCCGATCTGTGTAAAGAAGTTGGACCAGTATATAAAGTCTCGGCCTGTCAGTTCAGTTCACTGCTGTTTCTGCCAGCAGGCTGATCAGAGCAGAGCAGCAACAGACTCAGTGCAGGAGCTGCATTCACAGTTGATCATGTGAGAATCATAATGATTACAATTATTATGTTGGAAAATAATAGATTGTAAAATATATGATATTGAAAACAAAAACAAATAGAAACTAATGTGCCTGAGGAAAGACCAGATATTTTAGTTGTTCCTTGTATTGTTCTAGATGTTCCTGATGTTCCGCTGCCTCTCCTCCTCTTCCTCTCTCAGGATGAAGATGATGTCCAGCATCCTGCTGCTCCTCATCCTCAGCTCATGTCTCTGTGGTCAGTCTCCATCTTGTCTTTGTGACAGAAAGCTCTCTAGATGGAGCTGAAAGACTCCCATGTTCCAGTTCTCAGTGTGTCTGCTCCTCTCTTTCCCTCTCTGTCTCCTCAGCAGCAACATTTGTAGTGAATGTGACACAGAGCAGCTATCAGGCAGAGGAGAAGCAGAACATCACTCTGGAGTGGACCTTCACCACCAAGACTCAGGGAACCTGGAAGCAACTGTTCATCTTCTGCAGCTTGGAGACTCTTGATACAGAACTAGTTCTCTATGAGGTTAATGAAGGAGTTGAGATTCCAGAGTCTCAGGATAAACAGTTTTCAGGACGAGTCCAGAGCGACAAAGACGTCCTCAGAGAAGGACGAATCAGACTCCATGTGTCCAGACTGAGGACTGAAGACTCTGGTCGGTATCTGTGTGACGTGAAAACTGAAGATGGATCCAACAAGGCAGGATGTCGACTCAGCGGTGAGTTATTTGGTCAGAGTTTTTTTTAACTTTCTTTAAAACTTTTTAGGTCTTTATTGAGCATAAATTAATCTATTCATTAGTTAAATGTTTTAGCTTCTCTGTATTAAAGCTCATGTTTGATCAACATCTCTAAGCTCTAGAGGTCAGAAGGTCGACCTCAGCATAGAGTGATGATTCTAGAACAAAATCCACCTGGGAATTCAGCTGATTTGTAGAAGTGGACCGGTTCACTTTGACCTCTGACCTTTCTGCTCTCTTTTCTCTGTCCTGTAGTTTATAAAAACATCTCAGCTGTTCCTGGACAGAAAGTCTCTCTGCCATGCCGACTCCCCAACAACAAACCTGCTGTGTTTGTGCAGTGGACCCGACCGGACCTGGAACCAGAATATGTTCTGCTGTTCAGAGATGAGCAGCTGGATCCAGAGAACCAGCATCCATCTTTTAGGAACCGGGTGGATCTGCAGGACAGACGGATGGAGGACGGAGACGTGTCTTTGCTTCTGAGCAACGTGAAAACCAGCGACTCGGGAAAATACGAGTGTCGAGTTTCCCAGAGAGAAGAAAGCAAGAAGATGAAACTCATCCAGATCGTCTTCCTGGTTGTAGCGCCTCCTACAGGTGAGTTTTCCTGGTTTCTATATTCCAGTGAAAGAAGGAAGCTGCATAAAGTGTTTTAATGTTCAGATCAGTGAATCTTCTTACAGGTGAAAATGTCTTTAGAGTCTCTGTGTGGCTGTGGCTAATCTGAGGGGGAATATCCCTTTAAGGCCAGATGTGGTTCTGGTTCTGACCAGATGATTGTGTTTCCTAAAGCTGCTGCAGAAAGCAGCTGGTCTGAGAGCAGCAGATGAAGAGAAATGGATTCTGACCTTCAGCTCTGATTCTGTTTTTCAGAAAACAAGGAGGAAAGAAAACGAAGATCGAAGCAAAAACAAACATATTGGACCGATGATTGGAGGCCTACTGATCGTTGCACTGATTATTGGTTTGGTTCTTGGTTTCTATTTAAGGAAGCAGAAGATGAACGGATCTCCAGACCTTAAAGAAGAACCAAACTCAGTGAGGCTTGTGGATCGTTCTGGTCCAGATCCCCAACCTTCATCCTCAGAGCCCAACATCCTCCATGATGTGAATGTGACTTTGCTCTAACACTTGATTGCAATGGTTGCATGAGCTCCTCTGCAGCCCATCAGGTTCTGCAGAGGATTTTAATCACTGAATCATTCATGTGGCTACAGGGAAAGTCCTAAAGCCTGCAGGACTTTGGGCTCTGAGGACCAGGGTTGGGATCACTGCTCCAGTTGACCCAACATTGGTTTCTTCAGCTGTTACAGTTTATATCTTGATGCTCTGAATGTGAATTTCTTTATTTTGAACAAATCAATTTAAAGAAGCAGAAACACATTTATTAAACATTTATGAATAAAAAAAAACATTTTTGCAGCTTAAGAATAAATAATTTTAGCCTCTGAATTTGTTCAAAAGACGTAAGAAAAAATTTACATTGTTATTGTTCTTCAATATAAAACATGTAAATATGAATTAAGAGTAATATATACCATTTTATTTTATTAAAAAATAGTTTTATTTTTGTATAACTTTGATTATATTGTTATATAAATATATTTATGCTTGTATATTGTTTCCTTTCTTTAGTTGAAGTTTCACAAAGGTTGATGTTCACATGCATTTCAATGTTCTTATTTTATTCATATCTAACCTTAAATTCATTCATTCATTTATTTTATTTTGGTAAACTGTTCACATCACCAGAAACAACAAAGAAATAACAATAAACAATAAATAACCCACAATTTACCAAAAAAGGAATAGACTGAATTACTCCCTCCTTCTCTTTCTGGGGATTATTATTGAATATTTTTGCATTATGTGAACATTATCTGATGGGTTTATTTCATGTACATCAGATGTTTGTTTCTAAAAACAAGCATCAGATGTAGACTGAATAAAATGTCTCCACATTTTATTCAGTCTCTCAGATTGTCTCTTCCTGATAACAGCAGCTTTTATTTCATTTTTAATCTGTGTGTCAGGAGGTCTGTTTGTGCCCCTCGGCAATAATATTTAGCAAAATATGATAATTTAGCAAAAATGAATTAGTCTGGCTGCCCTCAGTCTAAGAAAGACCCTCAGTTTCTGCCTCCATGTTGTTCAGACTCTGGGTCCTTGGTGAGGAAGAGGGGGGCTGATCTGAGCCTCTAACTATCAAAATATGGGCAAGAATATTTTTCATACAATGGTTTGTAAATAAAAATGTTGGTCTGATGTTGACGTTAGAAAAACTTTCTATTTATAATTCAAAATTCACCTGCAATATCAATTGCAGAGAAAAACCCTCCTCACCTCTAAACACAGAAAAGCTTCGGCTGCAGAGAAACTTCTGACTTTAACTTAACCATTCTGCTAAAAGCCCGGTTCTACAAGCTGTTTGGGTCGGAACCACTGACAGGTAGAAAGAATGTCTGTCTGTACTCCGACTGTCACCACCCGGTACCACCTCGTACCAGCCTGTACCACCCGGTACCACCTGGTACCACCCGGTACCACCCGGTACCACCTCGTACCAGCCTGTACCACCCGGTACCACCTGGTACCACCCGGTACCACCCGGTACCACCTCGTACCAGCCTGTACCACCCGGTACCACCTGGTACCACCCGGTACCACCCGGTACCACCCGGTACCACCCGGTACCACCCGGTACCACCTGGTACCACCCGGTACCACCCGATACCACCTGCTCTCTGTTGGCTCTGCTTCTCCTTAACGTTTCTTCCAGGCGGGTTAAAGCTGCTGCTGACGGGATCTGGGCTGGAGGTTCGCGGCTGTAAATAGAAGTTACTGCAGAACCTCAAGTGTTGAAGGAAGATTCGGCCCATTTAGAGTCTGAATGTCTGGACGGGCCCTGAATGGCCCAACCAGCAGCTCTGAGTTTTCAGTCTTACAGTTCTAGATCTCAGAGTTGCTAACATCAAAAATTATGTAGAATTGACACCTTTGAGCTTTTTGATCTGTAAATAAGTCTGCAGCCAAGTTGTTGTTGAGGTTAAATAGATATTATTAGGGCTAAATTAGTAAAAGGGCAGCAAATTTGCTGATTTCATAACTTCATAACCTTTGACCTTCTCTCCTGTGGTCTGTTATACAGTCTCAGATCAACTCAGCCCTCCAGGACTGTCAGCAGCAGAAACAGAAAGTTTATTCCTGTTGGGGAAATTATATTACATTTGCTCTACATTGTCCCCACATGATGGGAATAATATAGTAGAATCCAATTTGATTATTGATTAATATGTTGTGCATTGTTTTAACATCTTGTTCAATGTGCCCATTTTGATCTTTGAGCCCCTGGCCCTCCAAAGGTCTCTGCACGGCCCTGAGATTGACTCATAATTAGACATTAAAGTGGAAACAAGTAAACAGAAAAAATTTCACTGAGGCTCATTAAATACACAAAAATGAAGAAAAACACATTTAATCAATCATACACTTTTGCAAAATTAAGTTTAAAGAAACAAGTTTGGATACTTTGAATAAATAACAGTTTTCTAATAAAACCTCAATATTTTATAACTTTTCTACAATCAATGATCCAACACACACTGATTATGAGATAAACGATGAAACAGCAAAACCAAACAGGCCTTAATGTACAAAATAACAAGAATGTTTAAATAATAAATTAGAGCTCTAATTCACTATTTCCATAAAACATTAAATATGGCTTGTACTTTTTAGGCTCTGTTTAAGTCCAGTTGAATCCAAAATGCTTCACTCTGCATTCAGTCATTCATCCATTCATACTCATCCATTCATACACTGATGGTGACCAATACTGGATAACAGCCTCTGCTGCCCTGCAGCAATTTGTCAGCAGCTGCTGTGAGTCGATGCCACTGGCAAGTAAGGCAGGTGAAGTGCCTTGCTCAAGGACACTAAGAAAGAGGCAGATTTGAACCAACAACATGTTAATTTCAGGACAAACTGTTGTCACCATAAAGTGAAAAGGAATAAATTCATCTGAGTAACAGAACAACAGATCATTGTTTCTGGTTATAGACCAGAAATGATTTAAAACATGAATCTGAAGATATTCAATAAACAACTCAAAGTCATTATTAAAATATGTCAAACAAAACAAGTTCAAACAAAAATGTTCTTTGTCAAAAAGTTTGGTTTCTTCTTCTCCTTTTCTTCCTAAAACAAATAATCAAAATTATTATTAGAATCATCAGAGCTGCTGTCAGTCCCACAGTGATGATGATGATGCTCCTTCCTCGTCTCTCTGGTTCTGGAGTCAATCTTGGTCTCGAGTTTGGATCTGATCAGCAGCTGCTGGGAGAGAAATCAGAAATATTTATTAATATTTGATGAAAACTGAGATCCAGGAGGATTCATGGAGAAGATGAAGAAATTCAACAACTCAGGATTTTATCAGAGTAAAATATTTCTTCTCACCAGTAACGCTGAGTCGACATCTTCCATAGTTGATTCCATCTTCAGTTTTCACTTCACACAGATACAGACCAGAGTCTTCAGTCCTCAGTCTGGACACATGGAGTCTGATTCGTCCTTCTCTGAGGACGTCTTTGTCGCTCTGGACTCGTCCTGAAAACTGATCATCCTGAGACTCTGGAATCTCAACTCCTTCATGAACCTGATAGAGAACTAAGACTCCATGATCCGTGTTCGCTTCACAGATGATGAACAGATTCCTCCAGGTTCCCTGAGTCTTGGTGGTGAAGGTCCACTCCAGAGTGATGCTCTGCTTCTCCTCTGCCTGATAGCTGCTCTGTGTCACATTCACTACAAATGTTGCTGCTGAGGAGACAGAGAGGGAAAGAGAGGAGCAGACACACTGAGAACTGGAACATGGGAGTCTTTCAGCTCCATCTAGAGAGCTTCTGTCACAAAGACAAGATGGAGACTGACCACAGAGACATGAGCTGAGGATGAGGAGCAGCAGGATGCTGGACATCATCTTCATCCTGAGAGAGGAAGAGGAGGAGAGGCAGCAGGACATCAGGATCATCATCACTAACAATATGAGGAACAACTGGATTCATAACAATGAATTATGGATTTCCTTCTTGTAATCTAAAATAATCCCACATGTTAAATAAATAAATTCTCACTGAGTTTCTCATGATAAATAATCTGCATCAATCTGTTCCTGGTAATTCGTCTGTTTAATCTCTAATTGACTGAATTAGTTCAGTCAGGATATCAGATGTTTGTCATCAACATTTCCTGCTGGTGGCAAATAGAAAAACAAAGAGAAACAGAGAAATGGCTCCACCTGCTGGAGAACTAGGAGAACTACAGCTCCTCTCAGTATTTACATTTAACCTGCATTTCTGCCACTTTATGATCAGCAACTTAAATTCATTATTCAAACTTTACTGAGATAAAATATTGATCATATTTGTGTGGAATATTAGTGTTTATACTTTTAAAAGTTAAAGGAAACAAAAATCAGCTGATTTACTTTAAATTGTGACTGAAATTTGAATCCTGTGGGAGAGAAACAGGTTTAAGGCTTTTATTCTGAAAGAATAACTTTCACATTAAATGGTTGATTTACTAAGATTAGTTTTGTTTTCTAACACAACAGTTGAATAATAATCTGAATTAAGAGAGAAAATGTATTTAATCTGCATAAAGAACAAACACCATTATTTACCAAGTTTGACTTTAATTTAATTTAGAAAGAAAATCTGTTTAGATCTTTAATTTTCAACATCCAGACATAAATTTGTTTTTCTGAAACTTTCTTTAAACAGAAGAACCTCAAAAAGATTAAAATTCACATTTGATCAAATAAAACTTATTTATCTGTTGAGACTTTAAGTCCAAATATCTTCATAATTCTCTAAATTAAATCAATGAGATTTGATCAAATATTAATTTATTTTTGTTAATTGTTCCAGCACTTGAACATTTTACAATTCAATAATGAAACAGGAATGAAAATAATTTGTTGTAGATAAAAATCACTTTGATTCCACTGATTTATTGATCTGTTATCAGATACAATAACATTTATTATTAATGTTATTGTCTCAGTTAACAGACAAATTTAGAAAAATATCAATAAAACTATTGACTGAACTGAAGTCTAAACAATGTAAACCAAACTAATATTTACTTACTAATCTGGTTGGATTGTTTTCATTGATCCTCAGAGTTTGTAGAGCTGATATGTAGATGTAAGATTGTTGAAATGGGAAGGAATGACTCAAGATGTACACTTAACTTCGTTTTCACTTCCTGATGTTGTTACTGTCAGTCTCATGAAAAACCAAAATGATTCATAAAACCACCATCAGTTTGTTCCTGTTTCCAGCATGTCTTGTTTGTTCACTGTTGAGCATTTTCAGTTTGATCTCATTTTTATAAATTCTCTGATCATTGAAAACTGAATCTGGATTCTGATTAGAATCAGTTTGATTCACTTCA